AAAAAATTACTTATCAATCCTATTACTATATCTGGCAATTCAGTCTCACAAAAACTTGATATCGTCTTTTTTATTAGATACTTTTGATACTCAGTCTCATGGATTTTGGTGCTTTTTAATATTTTTTTATTTTTTTAAAACTTAGAAACTTTATGAAATATTACCGATGCTCTTATAAAACACCTTCCAAGCTATGTACGATCCCGAGCTTCAAACCAGCTCACCAGTCCATCTTCGTAACGGGTATCAGCCATGCGGATGGAGCTTATTCGGTTGCGAACCACTTTATCGATCAATCTGATTAATTGCTGAGGTGTTGAACGTGAATTTTCTGTTCTATTATTTTCCTATTTTTTATACAAATAACTGAAAAAAAAAGGCACAAACAAACATTACAACTTTTTTCCTCACTGATGATTAGAAAAAAGAAGAACTTTATTCGTTACCAAGTAATATATATACATCTTTAATCCATCACAACAACATCTTTAAACTCTAAATTATCGAAATAAAAATAGAGTTTAAATCGCGAGATCTTTTCTTCAACTCATCATGAAGAAGTCAACTCCAGCGTTTTGCGTTTGCGTTCAAGAACAATCAAGTTAATCCCAAGATCGAGAAAAGTTTGAGAATTTATGGAAGTCAATAAGATTTTTGTAATCACCGGACTCGCCTTGAGCAATTATGCGTTTTGCATTTCACGTCATCGGAATCAATATCCGAAAACGATGAATAATCCGCGGCTAAAATCCTCCTGCTAAAGCTTCTACCGCAACCGGCACAACCGCTTAATCGGCGTCTTGCGTTTAAGATAGCTCTCCATCCGATTGTACAAGGCTGTTTGATGCAGCACCAAAGAACACAAAGAGGACAATAAACGCATAAGCAGCAAACGTTAAACGCAACCTCGGATGGACCGGTTAGAGATGCGTTTGCGTTTACAACTTGAGACCTTGTAGATGAAACGGAGATTTGTTTCCTTGATCGATCTTCTTCTTCCATTTCTATCTGGAGTAGAGTTTTGCGATCGTTCATAGCGTTTTGTTGAAGAAAAAGCTCAATGATTCTTGAAGGTTTTAAAATGATTTATGAATGATTTTTATAGAAGACGATTTCTTTTTCGTATTTTCTTATAGTTTGTTTAATACATTTTTCGTCTGTCGCTTTACAAACTTTATTATATTGAAGACGGTTTTACGTGTAAATACTGCCGAATTAGATGACATAAATAATAGATATCTTATAAATATTTAAGACCTGTTGCTATTATCCCAATTTTGATATACCTTTCTGAATCATTCAAAGCCACAAGAAAATTAAAAAAGTTTGTATATAAATATAATAAAATCTACAAAACCGTGGCCACAAAGAAACCTGAATACTTTAAAACAAAAAAGAAAATCTTAGAACTCTTTTACTGATAAAGTGAAAAACATGTGCACTAAC